ACTCTTTCTGTAGTGCTGATTACTCATGAAGAATGTACGTGTAGTACAGACTAGTAGCAGATGGCATTTGCAGTGTGTCATTTGCAGTTGTCACTGCAATTATAAAGCAAACATAAGAAAAGGGGAAGGAAATACTTGTCTTTTCCTCTGTCCTAAGCCATGTTTATGTGTGTGAAGGTGAGTGGGAGGAAATGTCTCTGCATGAATTTGGGCTGTTCTTTTAGTTACTTTTAGAAGATGGCATGTAATTGAAATGGAGTTTGTTGCATACATGCCATCTCTTACGTGCTTGGAGCTGGTGGTTCTGACTAGTAAAAGCTTAGAAAATCTTTCACAGACATCAGTCAGAGTATTTGTGGGTCAGTCAGAGGCCCAATGCCATGACCATCTGAAGACTGGTTGATGGTGCATGCGATAAGTTGGGGTTCTTAGGTAAGTTCCTTGGAGGCCATTCACGATATCACAAAACCAGCTTCATACTCTCCAGGTGGCCCTAAGGCCCAACTTTGTTGACAGTCTTAGTGGGCAAAAAAACAAAGATTGAGTCAGAGAAGCTGAATTCTGCTTAGCTATAAAAGTAGTCTCCTTTGAGCAGAGTTGAGCTGTGTTATTAGGTTATTAGTAGGGCTTGAACTGGTGCAGCGCCTCTACCCAGAGGTAGAGGCGGCATTGGCAACAGTGTACTTTTACCTGTCTGGAGACAGTTACCTGGCTCTTCCAAGATTGGTTGCCATTGTGACCCAGAGATTCTGCTCCACTCCCAAGTTTAAAGGGAGCTCCCCCATTTCTTGCCAGATCCCTTAAAGTGCTGGGAAGTGAGTAAGTAGAATTCAAGTTTTATACCTACTCCATCTTTCCTTTGCATTTCTCTTTTGGTTCTCTTGGTTGCTTCTTGTTTCTCCCCTCCCAAATCTCCCTTCCTTTTCAGATTATTTTCTTTCTGGCATTTTTTTCCCTTTCTTTTTTTTAACCTCTCACCAGTATTCCCAATCTTTTATTATTTTCCTTTCCTGGCTGCTCCTTGCCTTTGTGACACTCTTATCTTCTTTTCCTTCCAGTTTCCTACTCTGACTCCTCCAATACCCGTCTCTACCCCCCTGTCCTAGTGCTCATTTCCTTACCTCCTTTTTTCCAGAAATCTTCCTCTCACTCCTCTCCACGGGTGGCTGGATATCATGGCTGTTGTGAGTTCTGTTGATTCCATCTTTGGTCCTGAACTTTCATTTTATGGAACAACAGTGGCATCCAGTGGCCCTGTCTGTTAATTGAAGATTGATTTCTCTTCTACAATAGAGAAAAAAAATCCTTTTCAACTCTCTTGTTAGATGTGGGAGTTTGAATCAAAGTGGATAATACATGTGTACCATATTCAGCACTCAACATGCTACTGCCTCCTTGCATTCACTGGAAACACTACCTCAACACATGAATAATATATCCAGGGCTAGAGACTTGTAATCTTAAATACTACATATTTCTTATATTGGATAGAAGATTAAGCGTCAATTACTGCAAATTTGCACAGAAAAAATGGTAACCCGTGAAAGAATTCTTATGATACACAGGAAAAAAGGAAGGAAAGTACTATCTTTTGAAAGCTTCCCAGCCCATAATGTTTGTTGCTGTCACACTGCTTGTTTGATCTGCATGTCCTCCTTCCTTTATCTGTCTTATCCTTTCAGATTGTAAACTCTACTGGGATTGTGCATTCCTCTGTAGTTGTATAATGTGTAGCATCATGTCTTTTTCTTTGGTTAATTCTTAGACGCAACATAATAAAAGGGATCAATAAAATTATCAGTCTGTCACTGGCTGTTCTGTCATTTTCTCCACTCTGGGTTCATCTACACAAGATGCTTTACTGTGAAGTAGTGCAGTTTACTGCACAGTAAACATGTACGTCTACACGTGCATATGCTTACTGCACAGTAAACCTTGCTAATCATGAGTAAATTTGCTACCTGCGAATGCAAGTAGCAAATTTACTTGTGATTGCTAACTGTGCAGTAGAGCTCGTGTAAATGCCTGACTTCCTCCCGGTCAGTCGACCACCAGAGGGAGGAAGATTGCTCCCTGCCCCTGGAGCAGGGAGCTCCAAGCACCTGTTCCGAGATTGCAATCGGGGAGCGGGGGGCTGGAAGATCCTTATCTCCCAGCTGGAGCTTTGCAGTCATGAGGCTTGGGCTGGGAGATAAGGATCTCCCAGCGCCGGCCCCACGGTTGTGGAGTTAGTGCTGGGAGCTCCCTAGTGGAGGGGGCTGGGAAGCCTGTTCCCCTCCCAACTCCATGGAGCTGGGTGAGGAACAGGCTGGGGAGGTTGTTCCCTGTTCAGCTCTGTGGGGAGCTGAGTAGGGAGCTGAGCATGGAACAGGCTCTCTAGCTCCCACCCCATGATCGCAGAACAGGAAACTGTCCCAGTCAGGGGCAGGTCCCAGCCCCATGCCCCAATCAGGCGATCGGGGTATGTAGCTTGGAACAAGTTGCAGGGGAGGGGCAGGTCCCAGCCCCTTGCCCTGATCCACCAGTGGGGCAGCTAGCAGCAAGCCCCAGCTGGATCTGAGCAGGGGGCTGGGGCTGGATCTGTCCCTCCCCTGCAGCTCTTTCCAAGTCCCCTGCCCGATCAGAGAGCTGGGGCTGAGAGCTCCTTATTCCCAAGGCAGGGGGACATTGTCCCTGCCCCAGCGGGCAAAGAGAGATGTCCCAGCTGTCTCCTGGCCCAGTGCTCACAGCTAGCCCGTAGGCTAGCACCCAAGAGGAGCCTAAATCTCTCCCATTGCAGGGCCCCAGGAAGCGAGACTAGTTTGCTGCCATTAGCAGCAAATCTTCTCCCACTTCCCTACATGTGTAGATGCCTGGCTGGCAGCATTTACTCTGGAGTAGTTTTCTTGCAAGTAAACTGCTCCCGGATCTAATGCATGTGTAAACACACCCTCTGTGAAGGGCACTGCCTGGTCTGTTTGTGATGGACAACTGAGCATTTGTTACAACTGTACTTCTACTGAAGGCTTTGCCATCTGATGGATCTGGTGTTTGATTTACTTGCTACAGAATCCTGGAAAGTGGATCTGTCCTTTCATTCAAGTTTCATTAATATGCCATGGGTTTTCTTTTCATTGTGATATGCTCTTGTCCTCCTTTTAAAAAAAAGTTTTTTAAGTGTGTCAGCTTTAAAGAAGGAAACAGTTGAATATGCAAATAACTCATCTGAGTTTGAGAGAGAAAAAGATGCCACTCAGAGTTCTCAGTTGTGGGGCTGTGCATTCCTAGGGCTAACGGCAGAATACATCTTGTTTCACGGGCATTTTTACAGTAAATGGTTCTTTTTCTTCTTGCCTGTGTCTGTGTTGATGATTACAATTGATGATCAACTGACTGATGTTCTTTTTCTAACATTTCCACCCCTCTGCACTTTTAGCTTTGGAACAGGTTTCTCTGTGTTGAAAGGCAGAAGTAGATCCAGGGGGGTGTGTGGTAGGCCTGTGTGAAGCAGCTGGTATTTGCTTTGTATTTGGATTTAGATTCGGCTGATTCAGGGAACAGTGATTCGATTTGGTGATTTGAATCACTGTCCCGAATCAATTCAGCTGAATCTGATTTGGAGATTCAGCTGTTGCCAAATCAGCTAAATCTCTGAATTGCACAGGACCCATCCCCTGCCTGCTCTCCCAGCCCCGCCTGCCCCAGCTCCCGGCTCTTTGGGAAAAAAAAGCCCTGACTCACCGGGTGCTACCAGGCGGGGGGGGATCCCCACGGCCCCCCATTGCCCCGCACTGTGTGGGGGGCTCTGCCATGAGCCCCCCAACCCCTGCCCACTCTCCCAGCTGCCCCTCATGACTGCTCTGCCTGGCCCAGCTCTCAGCCCTTTAAAAAAAAAAAGCCCCAACTCACTGGCTCCTTCCAGGTGTGGTGGAGGGGGGCGATCCCCACTGCCC